CATCTCCGTACTACCATCCCGGCCACCCACGTCGCGAGACCTCCTCTCCTCTTGCCAATTAGGACGTCCCCGCGACGGTGCACTCGCCACAATTGACGCAAGTCCATGAGACAATGACCATGGCGAGGGGATGAGTAGATGAAGAGCATGGTGGGGAGAGATAAGCGACCAACACCACAACCATTAATGTTGTGGAGGCTAGACGAGTGGATGGGAAAGCGGCAACAGCTAAATCGGCGACCCAAACATTTCGAATAGGGCGGTTTCTTCCGTGGGAGCATGGGCTAGTCTCGTGAAGCATGGGCTGAACTACTAAAGTGAGTTACAAAAACTAATATAACCACTTACAATTTTGGGTGCAGTTGTTCAGTCTTTTTGAAGCATCATTTTTTTCACGGATACACACGAATGTGATTTCGTAACGAACTTTGCATCCATGTTGAAAAAACATCAATGTTTCGTGCCAAAAAAATCAGTATTTTTCTGAATTGTAGTAGAGAAAAGTATAATTTTCGTCCCTCAATTCTTGGCGGAGTCTAAATTTGGTCCCTTAAGTCCAAAACCGGACAACTTGCACCCTTAACTATTGAAACCAGACAAGATTCATCCCCGTTCGCGGTTTTGACCGGTTTTGGTGCTGTCCCACCCCGGTTTTGACTGTGCCGACTGAAATTCATGTACTTTTTCATGTCCATCTAATGTTTTCAAATTCTGGTATTTTTTCAAATACGTGAGCTTCTTTAAAAAAAATTGTTCTTTTTTTAAATCCACGTACTTTTTCCAAGTTCACGTACTTTTTTTAAATCCGCGCACTTTTTAAAAGTTCATGCAGTTTTTCAGATTCATTTATTTTTTAAAAAATAGAAGTGTTTTCATATTCGCGTACATATTTTTGGAAAGAGTTCATGAATTTGAAAAGTTTATGCGAACTTGGAAAAAGTACACAGATTTCAAACTTTTTTACGAAACAACTACGTGAGTTTCAAACAAAGTTCATTGATCGGAAAAGAAACACGGATTTGAAACAAGTTTGCGAATTTCAAAAAATAGTTCATGGATTTGAAAAACAATACTTGGATTTGAAACAATTACACAAACTTGGAAAAAATATGCGGACCTGGAAAAATAAGTGGATTTAAAAAAGTACGCAATTTGTTTTTTTGAATGTATTTGAAAAAGCATGCAAATTTCAAAAATAGTTCACGTATTTGAAAAAGGTATGTTTATTTTTGAAAAAATTATGCGGCCTTGCAAAAACTACGCGGATTTGAAAAGAGTATGTGAATTTCAAAAAGTTCACAAATATCAAAACAATACGTGAATTTGAGTTAGCACCGGTCGAAACCGGGGTGACTCATCACCATAACCGGTCAAAACCGAGACCGGGGATGAAACTTGTCTGGTTTCTATAGTTGGGGATGCAAGTTGTCTGGTTTTGGAGTTGAGGAAGCAAATCTAGACTTCATCAAAAATTGAGGAACGGAAAGTATACTTTTCTTATTTTAGTAACATTTTTTGTTTCAGATTTTACTGTTCACGCGCAGAACAACGCTTTTGCTTTTAGTGTACCTTCACCCATTTTAGTTCATGGAATACATATGTTCGCTCCATAAAATCAAGTAACTAATTAATTTTTTATCATTGATAAGAAAATTAGCTTCGCCAACTTACATGGATTGGCACTGGAACAAAGTGTTGACAACTCATCATGTAGCATGATTTATTCTTCTATCACTATCTGAGTCATTTTCTTTGGTACTGAAAATTTATGTAACCATGGCTGTTTCAATGCATTGAAAAGGATGGTAGAAACTTTATGAGGACTGGAGCGCTTGATGCGACATGAAGTTTTTGATCCTGAGCTCACCCTCATGAACAGTAAAATCAAAATAAATAGGAAAACAATTTAAAAAATTAGATTTTCCTTTTGTGAAAACATTGATGAATTCTTCCCAAATGTAGAAAAAAATAGTGATGAAATGACATTCATGAAGGTCTTGGCCAAAAAAAAACTGATGCTCTGGAGCATCAATTTTTTGTTTTTTTGCCCTAGCCTCCAAGAATATCTTTTCATTACAAATTTTGCAAACAGTTAAATTGGTCATCAATGTTTATCCAAAAAAATCAGATGTTTTTGTAACTTTTTTACTATTTTTTCAAATTCACAAGGGAGCATGTGTGCTTAGGATCAAAAGAGCACTTTCGCTTTACATTGACCGACTACCAAGTGCTTATTGTGAGCTATTTGTGATGCCATTATTTGTTATGGTCTATCATGTAATGCACATCCCATTCAGACAAATTCACATTTAACTATCTGTAATATCTTTAAATATCTCATCCTATAACAAAAGGTTTGAACAATGCCCAACTACATACGTAATACACTATACAAATTATTTATTGTGTATTAGATATCTGAGTGTTCTGATCTTTCTCAAATATATACATCAACATGGATGAGCGCGTCAACGCGCGCTTGTCATGATCTAGTTTTTTTAGACAGTAGTAATTTTTGTTAGAAGATTTTAGACGGTAGTAATGAGTTCTTATTTTTGTATGGTCTTCCCAAATAAAAGAAGACAAGAAAAGGCGGGCCAGGCTCTCAGTGGAAGCGAATAAAGCACTACGAGATGTGTTAGCTGGACTTTTGCCAAAGCTAAGGCTGGAGGCCCAACTACTATTAGCAAACTGGCCACCACACGACGTGCTTGTTGCTGTTGCGCTGCCTTATCTGGCCACAACCGCATAACTACATGTGCTCGTCCCTCTGTTACCCTGTACTCGCCCCACAGTGTTTCCAAAGAAACAGAGGTATTCCAAACGAACAACTATCATTGCATGGCCGTGACCATGATCGGTGCAATGTCGCCATCACAACGCAATGGAGCCAAAAACGAGAAGTAATGTAAACAACAAGAAGAAGAGGCGGTCGCGCGTACACGTACGTACGTACCTAGCCGTTCGGGGCCCTGGAAGATGCTCATCATGGCGCCGTACCAGTCGGCGTAGACGATGGTGACGTCCGGGTGGCGGAGCCGGAGCGCGTCGAGCCGCGCCGTGAGGACCCGGTTGTGGTACTCGGCGAACCTGTTGAACCACGCGAGGCACCCCGTCCGCGCGTCGTAGTCCCCGGCGCGGGCGCTCCGGAACCGCCGCAGGTAGAGCGGCGCGCACCCGAAGGGCAGGTTCCCGGGCACCATGAACGCCCTCGCGCCCATCCCAATCAGCTCCTCCACCGCCGCCGCCAGCTTCTCGACCACGGCCGGCACGAACGCCCGCACCCTCTCGCGCGGCATCCCGCTCGAGAAGGCGAAGTTGTAGTCGTTGCCCCCGATCTCGCCCAGCGCCACCAGCGCGTCGGCCAGCACGTTGGTGCCGACTAGGAGATGCCACGTACGTACGGGGTGTCAGAGAATGACTGTGGTAAATGCTGCTGCTAGTACTGTAGTACCAGACTTACGGTTCTGCTGCGCGAGCTGCTGCATGTGGGCCCTGAACCAGATCATCTGCGTGTCGAGCGAGAAGGGGGTGATGTCCATCCCCTTGCCGGCGAAGAAGGAGCCGTTGTTGGCGGTGGCCGAGATGATGGCGAAGTTGGCGCCGTGCTCGAAGTCCGCCGGGGCCGTGCTCGTCCGGATGGCCGTCACATTGGCCAGCCCAAGCTCCTGCGCTGCAACGAATGAACACCATGCAAGACTCCATCGTAAGTGGTAGTGGTACAGTACATTGCGCATGATTGTACAGCATGAACCGTATGGTAGTTAAGGCAGGTACGTAAACCGTTGAATGCCCTTTCGATCGGGAACGTGTAGGTAAGCGACGGGTCCGTGCATGACTGTGTGGCAGCATCGTGCAAGTTCTTGCACAGTTTAATTGGCAAGTAGTCGCCGTCAAACGTGCACAGTTTAGAGGGCCATGGCCCTGTATATATCCTAATTAAGAGGGTAACTGCACTCGTATAAGCGCGTACATACAAGCCCTGTGCATGAGCAAGGGTCTTAAAACGGTACCGTAGACAACAATATAGAAGCCGGTCATCCAACCATATACATCAAAAAGGCATCAAACCCGGATGACAGGGTTGGCCAGCCAGGTCAAGTGCTTTTTGGCCAAAAAATAGTGGATATTTGACTATTCTATGTTACGTTCAATTTTGATTCATTTTTCTATTTTGAACAAAAGACCATAAAGCAAAATAATCTGTAAACAAAAAAGACGAGAGTGTATAGGTATCCCTCAGTGGGCAATTGGTAGCCATCAAATCAAGATCTTTCATTTCTTTGTTCTTGCTCGAATATAGTGTTTAGGTTAGATAGTTCTTAATGATGAGTTAGCAATAGTCATTTCGTTGTCGCATGAAGAATTAAGGAAGGTGGAAAAGATATGTGCACCTCTTGTGTTCCTATAGTGGGCATTACTGGTAGAAATCCTGGCTATCAATACCCCTCTATTCCTCACCATAAATGTTTTGGTCATTGCAACAAGGGTCATTTTTTCCCAGACGTCTTCTATTGACAATTTTGAGGAAGCCATTTGCTTGCACAATGTCTTTTGGAATTCTAAAGGGCCTAATAAGATTCATTCTATTTATGTATCGATAGTAGACGCCAACATAGATAGGGAGGTGGCTTGGCTACATAGAGTAGCGGCTTCCTAGTTTGGTCTAGATCAACTGACGGCAGCCTAGGCTAGCGTAGAAGCCATCGACCGGGCGAGTGTGAGTCGTCAACGGTGGATTGTAGTGGTGGAGAACATGATAGGTAGGGGGGCTATGACACTGGACATCATCCTTCCTCTTTTGATGCGTGGTGCTCGGTCTAGATAAATAAGGAATATAAATCCTTTAGGAGAATCGAATCAGCTTCTGCAGATTTGTTCACGCAGACATGTTGCGATGACAGTGATGTCGACAATGACTCATCTTTGATATATCCATCATTGGTTGGATCCCAACTATCAAGTTATGTTGTGGTGATATCCTTAGAGTTGAAGACATTGAACCGAAGTTCGTTGGTTAGTCAAGGAATCGTGTCAACTCTAGCGACATTAAATTCTTGAAGGCATTGTCTTGTAGCACTGAAGCATGTTTTCTGGTTAAAATCCTTTGACATTACTTTGTTTGGTTGGATAACAATGATGCATGTGATAACCCTTCTTACATGCCGTTCTATAAAGTCTTTCTCTTTATTACACTCTTGTTGTGCTGTTTTTGCCGGCTCACGTGTTGTTGATATTCTTATTTTGGGTCCTGGT